TCTGTCATCTTGAAGGGCATGGCAATTGTCTTAAGTTTCTTATCTTCCATAGTAGCTTGTCATCCTCAGGAAACATGTTCATATAATTTTGTATTCCTTCTAGATGATCATTCATGTAAACAATGAACATTACTGGTATTAGAACTGAACCCATGGTATTCCACTAGTAACATTTTCCAGTATGATACATTTTCCCTGATCACTGCCCTCGTTTTTGTCAGAAAAGGTTTCATTCATGTCAGGCGTCTCCTTGTCACAGGTATACAGCTAGAAAATGCAAACCTAAACCAGTGCTTTGAGAGATGCTCAGTACCACTAAAAATGTGTTCAAGCCACATACTTCTAAGAAAAAAAGAAGAAAAGATGCAGAGTTGAACGAGAACGATGTTCCTCCTCTATAGATGAAGGAAACGAAGTGCGGAACAACTTGAATGCCCCACCCTATCTCACGAACGACAAAGATGGCTATACTGTGTAGAGAAATAGAAACTATTGAAATAAAGTTACGAGAATCATATAAATCCAGAAAGGGCAATGAGAGCAAAAGTCCATCAAAATAGAGAGGAATCTGAAATGATTTACCTGAAACCCCTAAACAAATTTGGGGACGGCTTAGATACTGCCATACTAAAAACAGTAGAGATAGCACCACTCAATAAAGGATGGCATAATAAAACAAAGGCATAAACCTATAGGTCAATCACACAAAATCTTTGAAAGAGTGGTAAACAGTAAGATCACGAAACACATGGAATCACAGCATCTACACCCTCGAGAACATGGTTTCAGAACAAGGCACTCTTGCTTATCACTATTGCTGGACCACTATGACATGGCCTTAGATGCTATGGAAGCCAAATAAAATGCTGACATAATATACACAGCTTTCACAAAAGTCTTTTGACAAATGTGACAATGGTGTTATTTCATACAAAATGCGTTCTAAAGGAATTACTGAAACAATACAAAGATGGATCTACAATTTCCAAACTAACAGAACCCAGAGTGTAATATAGCAGTCAACAAAGTTAAATCTGGACCATCAACCGTGAAGAGCTCAGTCCCCCAGGATACTGTGCTTGCTCCAGTACTCTCTCTCATTCTCATATTGGACATAGACAAGGACAAATTGTAGTACCGTATCATCCTTTGCAGATGACATTAGGATTTTATGAGAAACATAGAGGACACAGTAAACCTCCAATCTAATGTAAATTAACTCTTTCAGTGAGCCACAGAAAATAATATGGTATTTAATGAAGATAAGTTTCCAGCTCCTGTGCTATGGAAAAACGTGAAAATATAAAACCGAAAACTATGAAAAAAGACAATCAAATCATGCCATAGAACGTAAAAGCAATGTAAAGGATTTAGGCATAATCATTTTGGAGACCTTATCTTTGAAGAACGCAATAAAGTAGTTGTCACAACTGCACGAAATGCCATACCAATGGTGATACTTTTCAAGACGCTAGTGCTTTCCAGAGTGGAATATTGTTACACAATAACAGCCCCTTTGAAATTTGGAGAAATTGCTGATCTAGAGAGCATGCAGAGGACCTGCACTGCTAGAATTCAGTCAATAGAACATCTAAATCATTGGTACCAATTAAAATGTCTAAATCTGTGTGCTCTAGAGTTCAGGTAAGGGATATATGTATTGTACATAATAATTTACACATGGAAAATATTAGAGGGGCTCGTTCCAAATCTGCACACAGAAATAACGTCACATGAGACCAGAAGGCATGGTAGGATGTACAGAACACCCCTGTTGAAAACCAGAGGTGCAATAGGTACTCTGAGAGAGAGCTCGACATCAGAAGCCCGAGATTGCTCAACATGCTTCCACTACACATGTTGCCCGGGCATAACTGGCCGACTCCTTTCAGTGTTCAAGAGAGAACTCTATAAACACATCCAAAGGATACCTGATCAATCAGGTTGAGAGTCATGTGCCAGGCTCTGAGCAGCTTGATTCAACAGCCTGACTGACCAGATCATCAACCAGGAGGCCTAGTCAAAGATCTTACCCCGAGGACCTTGAACCCCGGAATCAATGCAAGGTAGGTCACACCTCGGGTATGTTCCAGTTTCCAGAACAACTTCTTATGAGACACTGTCAAAAGGCTTTTTTTTAGGTCCACATAGGTGTAGTCAACCCAATCATCTCTTTCCTGTAAAATCTGTGGCTCTATCGTAGAAACAAAGTAAATTTGTTACTCAGGATTTTCTTGTTAAAAAATCAGTCTGTTATTATGGTGTATAATTTCTCTCCAGCTCTAACCCATTTGGTTTTTACTATTTTTTTCTAGTGTTTTGACTACCACACGTAGGTGATAAAAGGCCTATTATTAAGTGGGTCATCTCTGCTACCATTTTTGTAGATTGGAACTATTCTTGCCTTGTCCATAAATCTGCCAAGACTCTTGTACACAAAGATGCCTGAAAAATCAATTGAAGTGAAGTGCTCAGCTCAGATGTACATTCTTCCTACACGGTGGAAGAATGGTGGAAGAACCCAAGGTGAAACTTCATCTGGCCCAACTGCTTTGCTTTTACTTGGATCCTTGAAATAATTGTCTACTTCGTCTCAAGACTGCTCCACGTACTGTTATTGTCTGAAATTCATATTGTGCCTAGTTCTCAGAAAACTTCATTCTGCACAAACACACCTTGGAACTGGTTTAGTTTTTCACACCTTAAATTGAAGTTTTCTTTTTAAGTTTGATTTGAAATTGAAGTCGCCAAATATTAACAGTCGTGATTAAACTTTATCTGCTTTTAAATAAAGGGAATCACAGTGCTGTCCATAATATTCAGGTTATATGGGTAAATTCTCACTTAAATGGGAGATATGTCTTGCCACCTTGTGATCACCACTTGGTTAACTGAGGTTTTTATTTTTGTGTCAATTCTTTGGATGCTCTCATTTGTTATCAATGTGGGTAGTGTGCATAAAGTTTCCACTTTTGGAATGTTATAGGAAAAAATGTGCCGCTTTTTCCAGTTCATAGCATAAACCTTGTAATAAACCTAAGAAGACTATTTTATAGGCCACAAAGAATATCGATAAGGTTCTTAAGTGTCCGGAAAGTAGTGACTTATGATAATAATGATGAAACATTCATTAATGATAAAAAAGAAATGAGTGAAATACTGAAACACATTACAACTCATTTTTAAGTGAACCATTAAACAATTAAGATTGACAACCCCAATGAATTTTTCATGAATGTGACACCATTCTCAACTCACATTTCAGATTTCACTAGCCCCACTGGGCTTTGAAGAAGCCATTGTTAGTACAGTATTTGTGCACTCCACTCTAGAGGGGTGGAATAAAAAATTAATCAAACGATATTACTGTATATCAAAATATCACTAAAAGATTACTGACACCTTGCTATCTGTTCAGAAATAATAAATTGTAATACTGTACTGATTGTCAAGAAACGGGGGACTGAACACTGGAGTACCTGGTTTCAGTGTCTAGACACTGTGATGCCTGTGTCTGGAAACCATGTGTGTGATGGGAGTATTGCCTAATTGTATTGAAACAAGGGGGTATAATATAAACAATAATATACATGATTATGTTGAAGAAATGTCATTATTGGGTTAATTCTCGACGCACAATTGAGAATTCCGGGTTCGAGTCCCAGGTGAACTCGAAATGGTTGGCCACATTTCCTTTCACCTAATGCCTCTGTTCACTTAGCATGTAGGTACTCAGGAGTTAGTCAGCTTGTTGTAGGGTTGCTATGCCTCTGTTCACTTAGCATGTAGGTACTCAGGAGTTAGTCAGCTTGTTGTAGGGTTGCATCCTGGGCGGGGTCAGTAATTCGACCCTGCGGGGAAGGACCTCAATAAAAAGCCTAATGTGTGTGAATACACTCTGGCTTCCTGTCCCCCAACACAGTGAATTTATAAAGGGGGTGATGTGTTTCACCGTATGAGTAACGGTGCCAGGGTTCCTAACACATGGCCTAGGTGGTGCTTTATGCCCATGCCCTTAACACCAGGGTTTCCAGGTACTGTATACTGTATAGCACAATTCCTTATGTGTACCTAGAAACCAACATATGTTATAATATCTAAATAAGCATTACATCTATCAACATGACAGGTGTCAGTTTATAAAAATATATATACAGTATATATTTTGTAAGATATAAGGTTAATGTTTCCATAAAGATATTACAATATTTTAAAATCCATTTTGATCACTAATAATTTAAATGTTTGGATACTAATGAATTAGTGACTACCCTATAGTGCACATCACACTGTTTCTGTGCAGAATACCTTGAAGATAACATACAGTACTGTACTTATAATGACATTCAGCATTGTTACTTTTTACACAGATAAAGTAACTGGGTGCCATGCACCCAGATCTCAGAACAAATAAATAATAAAATATAAATTTGAATTCAGGCATTTGGCCCAATAATTGTCTTTTTGAAGTGCAAAAATGTATCGACAATCGGGTAGTCATGTGATATTAGGACAAATACTCAGACGTGTTTACGTTTTGTGTGTTAAGATGGTATAGCAATTGCAGTGCAGTAAAAAATGTACCTTAGACATTTACTGTAGCATGAATAACTTAAATTTGTTGTATATATATATATATATATTTTACATGTGAAAATTTGAATTGTTTTAATGCTGTTATCAATTTTAAATAGTCATAGTGTGCACTGTATGTACTTCAAGTTTATATTTATTTTAGTCAGTACTGTATTTTCTTTAGGAAAACTAATAAAACATTAATAGAGGGAGGCAGGTTTTTAGACTATTAGCAATCCAAACCTCAAAGAGTATTATTTTATCTTTAGTCATTATTGTCATGTCTCTTGACTGATACATTTTATGACTTGATAAGATGAATACTGATTAGTACATCTTTACAGTCTTGCCCTCGTGTTAAGCCGTATGAATGTAGCAGTATTTGTATATTAGATTTCAACATAGTCTTAACTTACTACTGTCAGGAGGAACGTGATGATGACAGCCATGGTGGTGACAGCGACGATGAAATAGCAGAGTTACGTATCCAGGCATTACTGAGCAAGAGGGTGAATGAAGCAGAGGTTTCTCCTGCTCATGAGCCAACCCATGAAAAGCAACGAAATGTAAACAAACCACTTCCAACAGACAGAACACGGCCCTATAGATCAGCTCTGGTGAGTATATGATATTCAGCTTCTCCAAGTATGAGAGGAATGCTCATATTGTACATAGTGAATAGTAAACAATTATTGTACATACAAAAGCCTGATGGACCAGGCCTTGATTTATGGCTTTGTTGATTTGGACTGCAAATAACAATAGCCTGGCTGATCAGTAATACCTGGGAAACCCGGTTCTAGGTTAGGCTGAGAGTAGAAGTGCAGTATTGTACCTAAAACTGGTGAAATATAAACCACTGTTATGCTTAACAAAATGTCAATCTAATTAGTAAAGCCAAAGATGGAAGCAAAAGTGATGATGGGATGAATAATGGTAATGCTATTATGTATCCTCGGTAGGGGATACCTTTTGTGTTTTCATAGAATTTTTTGATATCTGATGAATACCATTATGTATTGTCTTGAAACTATGGCTGTAAATGCTGTTTTCTTCACTCACAACTGTAATTCTTTTCTTTTTTAAACTTTGATAAATGTAGTTTCTAAATTTAAATCTAGATTATACTCTGTATAATTCTAATTAAATGTTATGCTCTTATAATGACATGTGGGTAAAATATATGTACTGTACAGTACTGTACTGTAATTTTTTGTAAACTCTCCCAACTAAAAATGTACAAACATTGATGAGTATTAGCTTTTGAATTTGAATTTATGATGGAATTAAAGGATCTTTTTGTAACGTGACCATATATGTAACTAATTTCTGGCAGATTTTTAGAACTACTCTAACCCTTCGTTAGGGAAAGGGAGCAGACCTTGAGTGATATCTCGGTAAGGATTAAGTCTAGATGCACCGTTTATTCACTTGTATCCTGACATTATGTGAAGCTCCACAGTAGTCTGGATTCACATGGCTGCTCTAGGAAGTTCTGCACTAGTCATTTTTCTATTTAGGCTTTATATACAGGATCTCAAGATTATGTTAAGGATAATGTACATTCCTTAGATTTATGTCTTATTTGGCTTAAGATTTTTTCACCGTAGTATCATCAATAGTATGTTTTTAAAGTCTTTACATTCATATAAGCCATCAAAGTGCAGCCATTTCAAATGTAATGTACTTAAGTGTAGTTACAGGATGAGGGTTGCGTTCATGGTGTCCTGTCTTCCCAGTACTGTACTCTTTGTTGTATAACGCTTTGAAATTACGGACGATTTTGGCCGCTACCACCTTCTTACTTAACTTGTTCCAGCCGTCTACCACTGTTTGCAAAAGAAAACTTTCTAATATCTTTTTAGCACTTTAGTTTCCTTAGTATGAATTTGTGTCCTCTTGTTCTTGAAGTTGCTGGTTTTAGAAATTCCTATGTCAATTTGGTCGATACCTGTTATTATTTTGTAAGTGGTGATCATATCACGTCTCTCTTCTTCTATTTTCAAGTTTTGGCATATTTAATGCCTCTAGCCTCTCTTCGTAATTCTTGTTTTTCAGTTTTGGAAGCCATTTTGTAGCATGCCTTTGTACCTTTTTTTGATGTGCTTCTTGAGATATATGCACCATATAACTGCTACATATTCCAATTTTGGTCTCTCAAAAGTCATGAACAGTTTCTTCGGTATTTCATCATCCATGCAATTAGAAATGATTCTGAAGTTGGAAAGCAATGCATAAGCTCTCTGTACAATGTTCTTTATGTGTTCCTCTGGTGACAGGATACTATCCAAAATCATCGCTAGATCTCGTTCTTTGTTAGAGTTTTTTAATTCCTTTCCACATACTGTAATTAGTAAGTTGTGTGTGGTCTATTTTCTCCGATTCCACATTCCATAACATGGCATTTATCTAGATCAATTTGAAGGGAATGACAAATGTCCAGGTCTCCTATCTACCCCGGTATCTTAGCATCATCTGCAAACATGTTCATGTAATTTTGTATTCCTCCTGTTAGTTAGATCATTTATGTAGATGATGAATATTCAACCTGTCCTCTTACAAATTACGTCGAATTTGGCTGTTTGCCCGTATGGCTGAAAATAGATGTAATTTGAAAATGAAAAAAAAATGGAAAATAAATTTGGGATTTTTTTTTCCCCAAAACAGTAAGTTAAGGTCGAACAATTCACATGTTCGACCTAGCAGTAAATAGGCACCTGGGAGTTAGACCGTTGCTACGGGCTGCTTCCTGGGGTGGGGGGGGGAATCGGTTGATTGATTGATAAGGAGCGGGCCCAAAGAGCCAGAGCTCAACCCCCATAAGCACAACTAGGTGAGTACAAAGAGATTTTTCATTCTTGTAAAGCTACTATCACATGTAGCATTTCAAGCATTACTTAATCTGAATTTTTCCCTGGAATTCGCGTCGCCAAATCATTTAACAACCAGGTACCCCACTAACTGCTGGGTAAACAGAGGCCTATAGTTAAGGATTAGCACCTAGTCGATCCTCCCCAGATAGGATATGAATCCTGGCCAAATCGCTCGTAAAGCGTGGGGAGAGTATCTTCTGCGCAATGGAGACGCAGTTACTTCTGTTATGGCTATTCTATTGTCACAGTATATGTTGATTATTTTGGTGTTTTTGATTAGGATATCTCTGATAATGATCTGGTTGTGTGTAGAAATAATGTGGACTGTAACCTTTAACATTTGCATTTGGTCAAGCATGAATAAAAATGCAAAATATTAATTTTACTTCTTGTACTGTATTGTTAAAAAGCTTTTCCTGCTTGCATGAAAAGTTAAATAAAATTTCTAATTCTATTTGGCTGTAGTGAAGCAATGAATTTACGGTGACGGCATAAAAATCTTGATCTCTCATCACGAATCATTCTAGGCTAGGTCACTCTTGGGGGGGGGGTTAAGGAGTTTGTCACACTTGATATACAGAGTACTGTATTGGTTTTTTATGTTATTCTATATTTTTTTTCAGTGCAGTTATCTACTGTGCTGTCAATAGCAAATTTAACTGTGTGTGGAATGTCTGTACAGTATGCATAAATATATTTGTGTCCTGATGTGCACCATATTATATCCTGTATACACATGTTATATATAACTGTCTACATGTTTATGCACTATTATGATCTACTAAGCAGTTCTGGTTAGTATGATCATATTGGAACCAGTTGTCCAAGCATAGTGTTGCCCAGTATCACTACGCATACCGCTAGCGTGTGCCAGAGCACTACTATTACATGTACTATTATTATTAGAATCGATAAATCCTGAAAATAAATCAATTTTCATATGTTAATTTTTCAAGGGAACATGATATACAGACTCCAAACTGCAGCTGTGTGCTTGTGGTGGTGGGATACAACTCGTGCTGGGAACATCTGAAATTGGTACACATTCTTTATCACTGTCTGTATTTCCTTTGACACTCTCATTGTTAACTTGTAGTTTCTTGTGTATTACATCATCTGTATATGATGGTGTGGCCTAGAGCCTCATGGTGGTACTGTGAGTGGCTGCTTCATGCACCACTCATATCTTCTGTGTTAGTACTGAGGCCCTCACGTCTCATAGAGGTGCCCATGGTTTTTTCCAAGAGGACATCTGTTTACTGGAGGCCTGACGAAACAGATGCAAGTCCCATATACACGTGGGAGTTTTAAAACTTACGTGGGATCTAAATAGTACTTTTCTGGCTGATATATCAACCCGTCCTCCTAAAAAGAACGTCACTTTTGGCTGGTATGCGCGATATGGCCAAATTTGGACGTAATTTGAAATGAAATCGACTCACAAAAGTGACGTTCTGTTCCGTTTTCTATTTGAGTCGTCCCGCCTACGCGCAGACGTTATGAGAGGACACTTTACATTAACGTTTTTCATAACGTTTTGAAACTTTATGAGAATTTCCTGCCCACCTAACCTATCAGAGGACCCTTAACTTACTGTTGGTGAAAAAAAAAATCCCACATTTATTTTAATTTTTTTTTCAATTTCAAATTACGTCCAAATTCGGCCATACGGGCAAACGGCCAAAAGCGACGTTCTTTTTAAGAGGACAGGTTGGATATATACACCACCAATCAAATGATCCTGGTTGCTATGATCAGTAGAAGAGTTAAAAAAACTATTATCTCTGTCTGTGTCAGTGTGGTTATTGTCAGGTGCTGATTTTAGGTATTATCACTCAGTTTTGTACAACTGATATAAATAGTGTATGGTATAATATGTCTATATGGATACAATAGGGTTAACCTAGACCCATGAAAACATTATGTATCATTTTGTAATTGTTTACTCTGCAATGAAGCTGTCGTTTACCCGTTCACAATTTGGTGTTTTCCACCAGTGTTTGAATCTATTTCTGGACAGCATTCCCAAACAGAATAACTGCCATGAAGTGGGTTGCAAGAAAGTTCCTTTAAACTGTGCCAGTAATAGATTTTTGTGCAATATAGGTGTACATGTTACATTGTAGGCCTATATGCAGTATTCACTGTTTTTCTCAATTGTGTATGTATCGAGTTATTCCACACATTGTATAAACTACTGTATATTGAAGCAGCGAACATAAAACATTCTGAGGTTGAACATGAAAGCCCTCAATCCTTTAGTATGAGTTGGCAATAACTATGTATAATTTGTTGATGATACATAATTATTGATACAGTTAGGATGGAACCAGGTGGCTCCATCCTAACTGTACACTAAACTAGAAAATGTACACTTTTTCTCCTTTTCCTTACATTTTGTTTACAAATTATTTTTTTTAGGGGGGGGTATAGATTTTCATGCAATATATATAGTAGGAGGTATAATATGATACATTCTCGACCTCTCAAAACTGAACATCTTCAATCTCTGTCCATTCTTCTTCATGATCACTTTAGCTCAGCTTTGCCTGGTGTTGCATATGGATTCCTGGATGGTGTCTCTGACCTAGAATGCTTACTGGCACATTCACGTTCACCCAAGGTTCTGGGGCTGGTTAGACTTACTTGTGGGGCTTCAAGCTTTCTGTTTCAAGGTTCTGCCCTTCATCTTGAATCTGGCTACATCGATTTTTACCATGTTAGCGACGGAGGTTGTGACTGCTATGTCTCTTGGGGGTTCATGTCTTGGCCAATCTTGACAACTGGCTGGTTTGAGCTTCCAATCAATCTGTGTGTCAGCTTGCTGGTTATAGAAACCCCAGTTGCTGCTTGGGTGTGGTTTGGGATTCTCAGTGTCACTTTTCTTCGTCTGCAGCGATTTTCACTCTAGACTTATCCCCCCCCCCCCCCAAAAAAAAAAGTGACACTGAAATAAATTGGTATACATATATTTGAGGCAGCTCCCGCCATATGCCTGAGCCAAGCAACCTCCTTGGGGCATCTTGTCCATTAACGCTTGTGAATTGGTAACATCATCACAAGATATCCATTCTTCACCACAGCCAAAGTAAGCTACATGATTTTTGCGTGAATTTTCACTTGACCATTGCATGCATTTTTAACATTAGAAGAAAAAAATTGAAATTTTAATTTCATGCCCACCATGAAGTTAGATGTAACAGGTGCTCATTGTGGACGTTAACAAGACCTGGAATTGTTATTTTTCCATCTATATTGATAAACATTATGCACCCATGTCCACATAATTCTCATACAAAAATTTCTATCATACTTTGACTGTAATTATCTGTAAGATCACAAAACATGAAGAAATTGGCAATAACTATGCCAATGTTGGCAATAACTACAGAATCACAGCATCAACATAACCCTGGACAACATGGGTGTAGAACAGGGCGCTTCTGCCCCCTCTCAATTGCTAAACTACTAGGACATGGCCTTAGCAGCCATGGAAGAGGGGCAAAAGCTGATGTAATATAGAAACAGATTTTGCAAACGCTTTTGAGAAATAGTGTCATTTGCACGTAAAATGTGCTCAGTAGGAATTACTGGAGAAATAGAAAGGTGGATCTTTAATTTCCTAAGGAACAGAACCTAGTGTGTAACAGTCGACAAAGTAAAATCTGGATATGAACTGTGAAAAAGGTCAGTCCCTCAAGGTACTGTGGTTGCAAGAGTAGACAATATAGAGGTCATGATAAACTTCCACGCAAATGTAAGTCAGGTCTTTCAAGAGTCCACAAAAAAAACAAATTAATGAAGATAAGTGCCAGCTCCTGTAGTATGGAAAAAAGACTACATACAAAATAGCAAAATTGCACAGTAGAACAGAAAAAAAGCAAAGTAAAATATCTGAAAATAATCACATTAGGAAGACCTTACTTTTAAAGAACAGTACAGGAAAAATGACAGGTTGGATAACAAGAACCATTCAAACAAGAGATGCTCTTTAAGACACTAGTGCTCTCTAGGGTGGAATATTGTTTCATAATAATGGTGGGGGGGGGGGGGGGGGATGAGAGAGAGAGAGAGAAAGGGAGAGATAAGAAGGATGGGAGGTGGGGGTGAGATAGAGAACTATGAGGAGAAAGTGCCTAGCCATTACAATTATAACACCTGGAAGGTATCAGGACAAGGATTTGGAATGGAATGAGGGGGAAGGAATAGTGCACAACCACTTGGACAGCTGGGGATTGAACGCTGACTTGTGTGAAGTGAGACTGTCGCTCCCATCCAGCCCAAGTGGTTGGGCAGAGAGAGGGGGGAAGAGGGAAGGGCAGAGAGAGGAGGGAGGGGAGAGAGTGAGAAAGAGAGAGAGAGAGAAAGGTAAAGTGATGCTATAGTCATTGCATTTCTCTTTATATGTTGATGACAAACTGTTAACTACTAGATAACCAATACTGTAATAAAATTGCATGAAACAACTGCAAACAAAATTTTCATAAAATTATTATCAATACATAAATAAGTTTATGTAGAGGCCTTATCTATTTCATAAATCTAAATTGTGTTTTCTTTTGCTTTTCTGTACAGGACTTTGAGAAGAATCAGACCAGCGATATAAGTGCAATTCCTGTCCTTGGAGCTGTGACATACAACAGAGGTTTCAAGAAAGATTTTCAAGATACTGGCCAGGATGGATACCACCATGCGAACCAGAATTATCACCACGTGGGTCACGAATATCAAACAAGCCAGGAATATCATAATGTGGGCCAGGACTATCGCCATGTGGGACAAGGCTATCGTCATACGAACCAGGACAGAAACTATTTTCAAGTGAGGAGTTATCAGAATTTTGGACAGAATCGTGGATGGCGAGGGGGTCGTGGTTTCGATCGTGGGCAAAGAAGAGGCGGGCGAGGAAGAGGTTATGGTGATAGGCTTCAACAGTCATACAACACTGTTAAGCCTCCAACCCCTCAGCTTGTTCTCCCACAAGATAAATACCTGGAGAAAGCTCCTCCCGAACCAAATAAAACCAAAGAAAAAATGAGTGCAAGATGGCGTCGTATTCAAGGATCAGATAGTGAAAGTGATAGTGAGGATAGTGAATCTGACAGTAGTGACAGCAGCAGTGATAGCAGTGGTAGCAGCAGTGGCAGCAGCTCTGGGAGCTCTAGTGGCTCGGATTCAGAAAGTGAAAAAAGCTCTATAGATAAACGGAAAGTGTCTAAAGATACCAAAAGAGATGTATCACTTGGGGATAAAAAAATTACCACGCCAGTTACAAGTGGGACTCGGCAAAGACAACATTCTGGTAAAGGCCTGATATCTAAATCCCCTCCTGCACAAAACTCTGCTCCTCATAATCCCCCATCCACTCATAAGGCACCTGCTCCAGGTAGGAGAGTATCAGTCAGCCCACCTCCAAAGAAGTATGTCAATGCTCAAGTCTCACCACGACAAGTTACAAGAAGGGGATCAACAAGTCCACCTAATAACAGATCATGGGCATCTCCTGATTCGAAAGCACGTAGCCCAATGCATCTTCAGACATCCAGAAGCCCTCCACCTAGATCAGGTTTGAGGAGTCCAGGCCCTCCAGTTAGCTCTAGGGGTCTGTCCACTCACTCAAGATCAAAGAGTCCACCACCAAGAAGATCCAGAAGCCCACTACCATGGCCTAAAGCAAGAAGTCCCAAGCGAGCTTCAAAAAGTCCTAGATTACGATCCAGGAGTCCCTTTCCAAGACGAGGTTCTCGGAGTCCAATCCCAAGACGAGGTTCTCGGAGTCCAATCCCAAGACGAGGTTCTCGGAGTCCAGTCCCAAGACGAGGTTCTCGGAGTCCAGTCCCAAGACGAGGTTCTCGGAGTCCAATCCCAAGGCGAAGTTCTCGGAGTCCAATCCCAAGACGAGGTTCTCGGAGTCCATATGCCAGAAGAAGCTCCAGAAGCCCACCTCTTAGAAGAAACTCCCGAAGTCCACCTCTTAGAAGAAACTCCAGAAGTCCACTTCCTCGAAGAAACTCCAGAAGTCCACTTCCTAGAAGAAACTCCAGAAGTCCGCCTCCTAGAAGAAACACGAGAAGTCCTTTGCCAAGGAGAAATTCTAGGAGTCCATTATTTAGAAGAGGGTCAAGGAGTCCTGTTCCAAGAAGAAATTCTAGAAGTCCTTTGCCTAGAAGAAGCTCTAGAAGCCCTTTTCCCAGAAGAAGCTCTAGGAGTCCTAGCTCAAGGGTGCCTTTGAGAGGTTCCTCTCCTCACAGACTTTCCAGAAGTCCAGTTAGAGGAAGGTTAAAAAGTCCTCTACCAGGAAGAGGCAAAAGCCCACAGCAGAGAGCCAGAAGTAAAAGTCCATGTCTAAGAGGCATCTCTAGAAGTTCACTACCAAGAAGAAGCCCATTACTACGCAGAAGTTCAAGAAGCCCACTCCCTCACAGAGGTTCAAGAAGCCCATTACCTCGCCGAGTCACAAGAAGTCCATTACCTCGCCGAGTCACAAGGAGTCCATTACCTCGTAGGGGATCGAGAAGCCCTACACTTCGTCGTGCCACAAGGAGTCCACCTCCTCCTCGTAGAGTATCAAGAAACTCCCCACCACATAGAACTTCTAGGAGCCCTCTACCTCGAAGAATTTCTAGAAGTCCTCTTCCTCGAAAACATTCTAGAACTCCTCCACTGCGGAGTCCTTTCATGCGTAAACTCTCGAGAAGTCCTCTACTTAAAAAACATTCCAGGAGTCCTCCACCTCGGAAGCTCTCCAGGAGTCCTCCACCTCGGAAACTCTCCAGGAGCCCTCCACCACGAAGACTTTCCAGAAGTCCTCCACCACGGAGACTTTCCAGAAGTCCTCCTCCACGTAAATTGTCCAGAAGTCCTCCACCACATAAACTGTCCAGAAGTCCTCCACCACGTAAATTGTCCAGAAGTCCTCCACCGCGTAAACTTTCCAGAAGTCCTCCACCGCGTAAACTTTCAAGAAGTCCTCCACCACGTAAACTTTCCAGAAGTCCGCCACCGCGTAAACTTTCCAGAAGTCCTCCACCACGTAAACTTTCCAGAAGTCCACCACCCCGACATATTTCAAAGAGTCCTCATCGACAAAGACACTCCAGGAGTCCACCTTCTCACAGAGTTTCTCATAGTCCACTCCACCGGAGACTTTCAAGAAGTCCTCCTCTAAGGCACTTTTCAAGAAGTCCTCAACCGCGACGGCTCTCTCGAAGTCCACTTCGGAGATTTTCAAGAAGTCCAACATCTCGCAGACCTTCAAGAAACTCACCTTTGCGACGGTTTTCAAGGAGTCCTCTCCCACATCGTCTTTCAAGAAGTCCTCAACAACGACAAATTTCAAGAAGTCCACCTCCACGGAGGATTTCAAGAAGTCCATCTGGCCGCGTGCTTTCGAGGAGCCCAATTCCCCGACGTCTTTCAAAAAGCCCTCATCCTCCTGGAAGATCAAGGAATATATCACCTCACCGTGTTGCTAGGAGTCCATCCCTAAGGCGAACTCATAGGACTTCTCCTTCCTCTCACAGATCCCATAGCCCTGGCCATAGATTACAGAGGCTTTCCAGAAGCCCAGCTACTGAAAGGAAGTTAAGTTCACACAGCCCGCCATTTAACAGAAGGGGTCCAGTCTTACCCTTGAGGAGCCATAGTTCTCCTGGGGATAGGTCACCTAGTCCTGGCATTAGAAGAGATTGGGGACCTAGAGCTAAGAGATCAAGAAGTCCTGGCTCCTTTAGAAGATCTGTTAGTCCATTTGGTAGGAATTCCAGAAGTTTATCACCACATGGCAGGTTAGGAGGCATAACTTCAGGAATAATAGAGAGGTCTCCAACAGGTGGTGGATCTCCTAGAGGTTCATTTCACCGGCAAGGATTTGGACGGCCTACTGACAATGTAGTCCATAATGAAAGATTTTCCCCACAAAACAATACAGTGTTAAGTGGTGTAAGACCTCATGATTTCACTCCAGAATTTGGCCATTTTCCTATCAACAGACCTCCCCATGTACCTTTAAATGGCCATCAGCCTCAGCACTTCATGGGATTCAATGAACCTGTTCCAAGAGCTCCTGATGAACCTGTATGGCAGCATCCAGGAAGGCGGGAAGGAAGGGATCAGTTTTCACCTCATCGATTATTGCCTGAAACGCCATGGCAAGGTCATTTCCAGCAAAGAGATCGTACAGTGCCCCCTGTTTTCTCACATCCTGAACATATTTTTGCACCAGGCAGAGGGCAACCATTTATAGCACCTGGCCGTGGCCGCCAGGGACAAGGGATGCTGATACCTCATGGCCGAGGACAGGGTTTCCACGTACCTAGACTTTTATCACCTCAGGCTCGTCGGGGTAGATCACCTCCAAGACATGAACCCACTGGACGATTTGATCATGATTTGCCGCCGCCTGGACCAAATGAACGAAGACGACCATTATCACCTAAAAGACAATTGACTCGAATTCCAGAAACTTCACGATCGGGCTCTCCTTTCTCTGCTAGACCACAGACATTTCCACATGCGGGAAGAGGAGGACCCATATCACCTCGAGGACGGATTCCAACTGTGCAACAGAACAGGCGAGGTCCAAGAACTCCTCCGATGCCATCCAATAGAAAAATTTCTCCCCGACCAGGGACAAGGGATGGTCAAAAGTCATTAAGAGGACAGCATACCTCATTTCAGGAGAATAAACCACCACTACAAACACGAAGACAAGGTTCTCCACACATTTCTACACATGATAGACCACCTCCATCTCGTGGTGGTCTAAACCAGCCACCTCAAAGACGTCCTGTTCTCGGGAACAGTCCCCCAACAGGCCATCGTATCCAAGATAATGTCACACACAAACAGCGGATGCCATTGCTAAGAAGTCACTCTCCTTTCCAGGGTGATAGAAGGCGAAATGAAAAGCAGGCTGATGATGTTAGAGAAAGAAATAGAGATGAATCAAGTGGACAAGGTCAGCACGATAGAAAGGATCGGCGGTTAGAATCACCAAGGAGAACAGATAATAGGCAAAAAACTCCTGTCCGAAATAGATCTCCGGGCAGACCACACAATGTGAGAGGAAGTGGTGCAATGGGTCGAGGCCGAGGTAGAGGAGGAAAAAAGCTTCATAGTCCCTCTAACCGGATGCGAAGACACCTTGGACCTAGATCTGATGCTTTATCTAGTCAGCAACGGTCAAGAAGTCCAGGAAATCGTGAGAGGAATGTCAGTTCTGCCAACTGGGATAAAAGAGAGGTGAAGAGTGACACGCAGGTGGAAAAGCTGGAGTCAAAACCCTTACATGGCCAATTTCCAGAAAGACAGGGGCGTAATGGAAGTCCTTGGCTTGAGCCAGTAACTCCAGAAAAACAAGGGCATGGTGTGCGTGATATATCTCTTTCTCCAACTGGTAGTGTTAATGAAAATCAGACTAAGAAAGTGAAACAAGAAATAAAAACAGATGCAGCCACTGTTAATAGAGGGAGGGAACGTGTGGAAAAGAAAGTTAAGGAAGAAGCTCCCTCAGAAACAATTGCACAACAGACTGTTAAAGTGGAAGGCAAGTCGACCAAACCACAAGATAAACTAGAGGCACGGCGTAAAAAATTTGAAACAAATAATCCAGTGTCTTCTCAAGAGCATCGGAAAATATTGTTAAAATCTGTCGAACCTTCAAAGGCGGTAGAGGAAGAAAAGAAAAAGAAAGAGGAAAAGCCAAAGGAAGAAGGTGATGACAAGAAAAAGAAGAAGAAAAAGAAGAGGGCAAAGGATGAGGAGGAGGATGATGATGCATCAGAGAAAAGCAAGTCTAGTAAGAAGAAGAAAAAGGAGAAGAAGAAGAAGAAGGAAAGCAAGAAGAAGAAGAAGAAGCACAAGAAGGTAGAGAGTGATAGCGAAGAGGAGGAAAAGCAATCGATTATTACCAAAAACTCTAAAGAAGGTAAGTAGTATAGCTTGTAGTAACGTTATCTGTTTATTTACAGACATCAACAAAAGTTATGTGATGAGCAAAATGTTACTTAGATGCATAATAATGAAGTTGGATAGAAAATCATGCTAGGATGTCCTGATTGTTTTCCTATTAAGATCATCTTATTAAAGCGAGTTACTGAAGGAACAAGGGCATTAGAAGCATAGGATATAATACACATGACTGATGCCAAAGTGTGACATTAGCATATCGGCCTGGTAAAGCTCCGGGGAGCTTCCTGGTCTCACCCAGAAAATAGTGTTTCATTACATTCAACGCTGTTTTTTTTGTACAGAATTTTAACATTTTCATTCATTTTGAAAATCTAGAATTTTACACTTGACCAGTATTTTCTGTGGAGAGCGCCGCTCGGGCTCCCCAGAGCTTACCGGGCTGATATGTATGTATTAGACTGTGTCATCAGTCAATTCAATTGAAGTTCTTGCCTACTGGGAACCATGAGCCAGAACCTGGTCCCCTCAGAGAGGCACGAGGAGCCTCTCGTGAGGCTCCTCATGCCTCTATAAAAACCTATAGAACCTATAGAAACCTCCATGTGGTTGGAAGCATTCCATGTCTGCCAGTGCCTGGGTTTGGCACCCAGAAATGTAGGCATTCCAAAATAAGCTCCTCTTGGTTCAAAATTGCTACCAAAAGCCGAACTATCAAGCAGAACTTCTCAATCTGAAAACAAGCAGACAAGCATGACATCACAACTGCCGCCCTGCTGCTGTCTGTGCAGCTTCCCTCTACCTGGGAAGGGAAAGGAGAAGCCTCAGACTCCGCACTGGCCATCCAACCCCAGTTCTGAGGCTGACGTGTTGAGTGGCGGTCGTTCAACTCTGGCTCTGTGCCCTTTTTTTTTTTTTTTTTTTTTTTTTTTTTTTTTTTTTTTTTTTTTTTTTTTTTTTTTTTGTTGCATGGTGGGGGGTGGGGTCTGCCACTTGGTCGTTATTCACCTTCTGTTATTCTGGTGGTCCCCCGTTAGGTCCCTGTGATTGTACATGTCACAAAGGTTCAGCTTTAATTGTTCTCTCAGTAGTTTGGGCCAACAGGTTAGCAGTACCTTATCTGGGCTTTCCTGAGCAGTCAGCCTAAGGGCCCTGGAAAACCTCATTAGGGCTCATTGGTCTGATGGATGAGTCCTTTGGGTCCCATCTTGCCTTGTGTGAGTTCGGAGGTTGCTCTGTCCCCCTGTCTTGAGGTGACATTTCACCGGTTTTGCCTTCGTAATGCTTCCTGTTGGGTCGATGACATCTTTGACCCGGAGTCCTGTGAGTGGTATTTCTTGCTGGTGCTCCAATTCACCCAGTCCACTGATACTGATAATCAGGTGTAGGCAGCTTCGGCATTGCATGCAAGGTTTCGGTTGCTGCAACGCCTTTCCTTTGGTTGGTTGCCTTTCCGGATGCTCTGTGGCTGCCCCGCTTTGGTTATAGGGACCCGGACTGGAGGCGTTCGTCATTTCGTCTGCGCTCCCTCTTCCTTTCCCTGCTGTTGTTTGTCCTGCCTTCATCCCCCCTCCCCCTTTTCCCCTGCTGCCAACTCCCAAACATCTGAGGGTTTTCGAGTCGGGGCAGGGTTTAGATGTTGGTAGACTCGGGCGGTCTCAGGGGCTGTCCCATCTGGTTCAGCGAGGGAGGCATTAAGCCCGTCCGTCCAGCCGGGGCATCAGGGTCTGACCAGCGGGCCCCACTTTTCCTAGTTTTCTCAGTGGACTCTGCCTTTTCTTTAGGGATAGAGGGTTTGGAGGATGGTTCTGCCCTGGGTCCTGGAGGATCCTGGGGCTGGGGAGGAGTCGACTTGGGGGGCTTGGGCCCCGTTTGACCCAGCTTGGGTGTTGGTACCCTCGGCACGGGGCTTGTTGTTGCAGGAGGAGGGGAATTCTTACCCCCCTCCTCCCTGTACGAATTTGATATGAGTTCTGTTCCTCCTCGGGTTCGGTTTCGGGTTCCCTTGGGTTCTTCGGTCCCTTCCTTACGGAGGTTTTCGGCTTCCCACATCCTGCCAAAGGAGATTCGGGAGGCCATTGCAGCGTACCTCCTGCATGACCCAGATTTTGCCTCAATAATGAACCCTTCCTTTTTCGAGTTCAGTTCTGCTTTTCTTTATTGGATGCGTTACGAGGTGCCGGAGTCATCCTGGTTGGCAGACTACCCTTTCTTTCCTTTGGAGGCGTGGCATTCGTTCTGTCGGACCCACATGCTTAAATGGCGGGAACCTTATGCGATTGTTCAGGTTTACCTGGAGGGGGGCGAGTTTGAGCACCTCAATGAGTGCTCATTCACCCCCCCCCCCCCCTTCTTCCCAAGGATATTGGTCAGGTGCAGCTTCACGTGTAGGTTCCTGTCCTTTCGGAACCCATAGAGGCTGAGGAATTGTGCGCCCGGGGGAACTTGGCTTCGGTTTTGTTTCTTTTCCCTGCTCGAGCTGTCTTCAGATTGGCTTAAGGAGGATGTGGAGGCGCTGGGTGCCAGGCCGGTGTCAGGTGCGCTTGCCTCAGCGGCTCGGGTGTCAGTAGTGGCTCTCTTTGCGTTGGTGTGGTCTAAGCATCTCCCGATATATGTGGAGCCCTTCCTTGACAGTGAGGCAGTCGGGGGACGATGCCTTTCGGCAGAAGTGGTCAATGTGGGGTTATCTTTACCTTCTGGTTTCGCTGTTGCTTTGGGTTTTGGCTCAGTTGGAGACTTATCAGGGGAGAGTTGACTTGTTGGCCCCTTGGTGGCCGGCCCAGCCTTGGTTTCTGGTGTTGCTTGCTTGGTGTTTGAACCCGGGAACTTTTCCTCGGCTCCGATTCTTCCAGCAGATCGGTTCGGTCCGGTATGTGGCTGGTTCGGTCTTCTCCTCCGATCTTCGAGTCTGGTCTTTCTGATGCGGGTCTATCGCCATGTCTATGATGATCAGGTTGCTTCGTTGATGGTATCCCGCCTGCGTGTTTCATTTCGGTGGCAGTATGAGATTTCCTGGCGGTCCTTTTTTCATTTTTATCTTTTCGTAGGCTGTCTTAAGTTTCTGATTGGATTGTTTTGTCCTTTTTCTCTTGGTTGTTTCGGGACCCCTCATCTTATGCCGAATACTGTCACCTTGTATCGTGTGGCGCTGGAGGAGCTTTTCTCCAGCTTGTGTTCAGGGTGGATGTCACTTCTGCCCCGGTTCGGAAACTGTCTTGTGTGTTATTTCACCTCCAGCCTGCTCATGCGCCACCTGAGCCGTCCTGGTCGTTGGACCAGGTGCTCTCTTTTCTCCTTGGTTTGTGGTCTCCACTTAGGTTTGGATTTGTTTTGATAAGGCTTTTTTCTTGTTGGCATTGGCCTCTAGAGGTTGGGTCGGAGCACTTCATGCTCTCCTCCGGTGCAGGGGTTTTTGCTCTTTTGGTCCTGGTGGTAGGTTTGTTTGTTTGCAGCCATCGTCTTCTTTTTTGGCGAGGAACGAGACGGTAGCTTTCTGGAGTGGGTCCTTGGGGTGGTTAATGTTTGGTTGCTTTGGCCGAGGTGCATCATGTGTTGTGTCCGGTTGCAGCTCTTCGCCGTCATTTGCCCACCATGGCCTCGGTGGCCGAGGACATGCTTTGGGTTGACCCGGATTCCCTTCTTCCTTGTTCCAGGTTGTCTGCAGGGTTATTCGGTCCAGCCAGCTTGTGGTCTATTCTCATGCCCATGACGTTCACAAAATTGCCGATGTGGGGGTCTGTGGCTTCCCCTTTCCCCCCCCCCTGGCGAGGGGGGAGCTGTGCAGACAGCGGCAAGGCGGCGGTTGTGATGTCATGCATGTTTGCTTGTTTTCGGATTGGGGTGTTCTTCTTGATAGTCCGGCTCTCGGTAGCAATTTTGAACCAAGAAGAAGTTTGTTTTGGGATGCCTACCTTTCTGGGTGCCTAACCTGGTCGATGGTAGACATGGAATGTTTCCAACCACAGGAAGGTTTCTATAGGCCGGCCATTGCTCCTTGTGCCTCTTTGAGGGGCACAAGGAGGCCCCGGTAGGCAAGAACTCCAGTCGAAGTGACTGATGCCACAGTCTAATCACACACACACACACGGCATATTTTTTTTTAACTGATGAACTGATGTTGGCCTTTAACATTACAAAGTTGTCAAGTTATGTGGATAGGATGGATCACTTAAGGTTTAGATAACACATTTCTCCAGAAATCTTATTAACTATTTTGCTTTTATTTCAGCCAAGAAGGACAACATAGACTCAACAGACCTAAGGCATATGCTAAAGCGGAAAGTGGATCCACCAAGTACTGTTACAGGTGGTGGTGTTGGTGTTGGAAGAAGCAGAAGCAAAGTGGATGTGAGTGAGAGAGAGGAGAAACGTAGGAGAAAAGATAAAGAAGAACCTACAAAGTCTGTGATGCCTAGCAAGAGTAGACAAGTGGACAACAGACGGAAGAAGCAGCACGGTAGGTTTTTAACTTGACGTGATTTGGGAATAAATATTGTCTGAAAATGTGCCTGCCTGAGCTGCTTGGCTGCCTAACATAGAGGTACATAAATGAAATACTGTACTGAAGCTGTGATAGGTATACTCGGATATAGAAACCCTGTTATAATGCATTTTTAACTGACTTGCATTTATATTTGTTAGATTGATCAATAATTGTTGTATCTTGAGAGGGAGGAAGGTGAGGATTTGAGATCTTTATTTGTATTGAATTTACATACTACCCAGGTTAATACCTCGTTGATGGGGTTCTGGGAGTTCTTCTACTCTCCAAGCCCGGCCCGAGGCCAGGCTTGACGTGTGAGAGTTTGGGCCACTCTTGTTATTTAATAACACGGAAGAGTCATCTCTTCTTTTCCTTTGGTGGTAATACAATGTTGCATCGACATTGTATATTGTAGTCAAAAAGGACATTTCTTAAAGCTGCAACAATTTAAAAAATGCTACTGTTTTACATTTTCTAAGCTCAATATTCCCCGCCCCCCCTCTGTTGCCTCCCTAGTCAGGGCCAAGAGTTCACACGAGGCTCTGGTCAACCTTAAGCCTCAACGGAACAAGTAATATCACAAATTGTTTTGTTCTGAAGTATAAGAGACAGTGGAGAGTATACCTCATTCCACCTACCAATTGAACTACTTGCCATGACATGAAGGAACAGATCAAACTACTTCTATTTATAATTACATAATCAACATGCTCTTCAAACAATTATTGAGACTGCAAAGACAGCCATATATTGCTCTGAAAAATATATCACTAGCAAATCACCTCTTTACACTGATCTTCGCAAGGTGTCAACTCTCTCAAGTCCTGTGTAACACAATCAAAGGAGGTAGCAACCATTAATTAGGTCAAGTACTTGGGTACTTGCTGTTAACCAATTGGTGAGTCACATTCTAGGGGGGAAACCAGATGGTAAGGCTGGTCAAGAGCTATGGAAAGGGATAACTCTTAGCCTGCTAGTATGAGCCACAAGTCATCTGTTCCTGTACCCACCTCTGTAGAAAAAAGTGTGTGGGGGAGGGGGGGGGTCATGCTTCAGTAATCATTTTGTGGTGTGGGGCCCTAGTCATTTTACATGTCGCTTTGAATTTAACTGTCAGTTTCAGGTTGGTTTCAGAATTATCTTCCCTGGTGCAGATTGTCAGTGACCAACACCCAGCCAGCGTGGTTCGACTCTCTTTGAAATAGGCTACCTTGACGGTTTTGTTGGGACCTTGCCTCTGGCCTAGGCCTCAGTACTGGGTTCATTCACACATCTTGTGCTCTTTGCATGTAGGCTCATTGGGATAATTGAGTGGTAGGGACTGGTTGAATTTTCTTTTTATTTAGTCCGTGGCTTCCCTTGCCATTCCCAGTTGTTTTGGGAATGGGGGTGTTGTGTGTCCACATTTGCTTGTGCTTATTAGGAGGTATTATAGAGAGACTGACATGTGTGGAACCTAATTCTCCTGCGTCCATATTTTTCTTGATTGTGCCTTGGTGTATTTTGAGCCCGGGGGCCACCCGTACCATCTTGAATGTACCTATTGGTGGGTACGAGATTATTTTTTACCTGTGTGGAAGACAAGTGTTCAAGGTGGATATCTATCTTCTTAGTGCCTCCTCCTTCTCTATGGCTTATGATACTCTATCTCATTTGTGTACTTTGGTCAAAAGTTTTGAAGTCCCTGGCATTTGCTTTTGTGCAATCTAGAACATCCTTCATTGAAAAAATGTTGAAGACTTACTGCGCAACTCTTTCTCCTGTTTGGGCAAGATGACCTGGTTTTCATAGGGCTGCTCAGCGCTTGCTTGGCTATCCAGCCTCCTCCACTGGTTGCTGCACCAAATCAAATTGTCATCTGATAACATCTCTGGTTCACCAGCTCCGGTATATTGCATGGCGCTTTCTATGGTAAATTCTATTGCTTTAGTTAGGTATTGAGTTTTTTCCCATAGGTGAGTGCTTGTGGATCATACCTCCTTTATTAACCCTTTGCACGGCCTGGTGTGTGTGCCCCAGCCCACCCTAAGGTCTGCCTGGTGTTTCCCATGAGCGAGTACCCACACTAAAATGCGTATACTCTTTTCAGTTTTCCCACCTCAATTTTCATGCTACATCATTCATTTTGTTCTCAAATTGTTTGCAATAGAATTCTCTAAAGGGATATGTGAATATAAGGGAAAAAAATCCCAGACGTACTACCCGTAGCAAACCAGGAAATCCGTCGAGAGTTACCCGTGAATGAGCTCCCATCCACACACCTGCACTAAAATGTGTATACTCTTTTTGGTTTTCTCACCTCAATTTCCAAGCTATGTTGTTCATTTTGGTATCAAATTGTTTGCAATAGAATTCTCTAAAGGAATATACTGTATAGGCATATAAGGTCAAATGGCCCAGTGCGCCTCCCACAGCACACCCAAAGTTTGGCCGAATTTTACCCATGAGTGCACACCCATCACCTGCACTTAAATACAGTATTTGTACTCATTCCAGTTTTGCCAACACAGTTTCCATGCTACATCGTTCATTTTGATATCAAATTGTTCGCAATCGAAAGACGCACATTTTAAAACAAGTCACATAATGATCAGAGTAAAAATGGAGTTTTAACATAGGTTTTTTTTTTTTTTTTCTTTTTTTTTACATGCATCCCTGCTGGACATTCGTTGAGTTATTTATAGGTGCCATATCCATCCCAATTCACTGAAAATGTGAATTATACTACTTTGTTCTTCATAGAGCATCAAATCAGACAAGCAGGAGAATTCCATAATTCTAAGTAAATAAAAATGTTGGTTTTGTGTGTTAATTTTGGGTAGATCGGGAACAAATCCTTCATTTAGAGCAATTTTTTGTTTCTTTTCTCCTTGTTTTTCTTCTTCTTCACAAATGGGTATAGAAATAGACAACTTGTGAGTCCTGTTAGCACGCTTAGAACTTTCTTTCCCATAGGTCATGGTAGGTCACTTAGTTTTCCCTGGATTATGACCTGCTAATCAGTTAACAGCCGGGTACCTAATTACTAACGGATGGACATACCTGCTTGATGGAGTTCTACTTCCCAAGCCCGGCCCGAGGCCAGGCTTGACTTGAGAGTTTGGTCCACCAGGCTGTTGCTTGGAGCGGCCCGCAGGCCCACATACCCATCACAACCTGGTTAGTCCAGCACTCCTTGAAGAAAACGATCTAGTTTTCTCTTGAAGATGTCCACGGTTGTTCCGACAATATTTCTGATGCTCGCTGGTAGAACGTTGAACAACCGCGGACCTTTGATGTTTATGCAGTGTTCTCTGATTGTGCCTATGGCACCTCTGTTCTTCACTGGTTCTATTCTGCATTTTCTTCCATATCGTTCACTCCAGTACGTTTTTATTTTACTGTGCAGGTTTGGGACCTGTCCCTCCAGTATTTTCCATGTGTATATTATTTGGCATCTCACTCGTCTACATAGGCAAACAGTTGAGGACTGTCACCCTAAACAATCCTGCCTGGCCAGGACTTGAACCTAGATCAAATGACTCGTGAGGAGCAAGACGAGTGTGTTACCACTGTGCCACCTGGGACTGTGGGAACTCTGGTTCTGAACAGCTTTACGGAATGCATACTGTTCATAAGTTGGGGACTGGCTGTAGTTGTATCATTATCCCGTAATTTTTTTTTTTTTTTTTTTTTTTTGTATTATGAATTAATATGGGATGGGTTTGTGTGCAAATAAACTAACGCTATTAAGGTTATGCTAATTTTGCATCTTGAAATGGATAAATTTAATAATCTAGAAATCACTGGGTCTCAATTCAGGATTCAAGATATTCCACTTCATCTGTTTATTGTTCAGCAAAAATTTATTTGAGTTTTGTGTAAGTAATTTCTTCATATTCACTTCATGTAATTTGATAAGACTTGATCAAGACTTGTGTGGGTCTCCTGTTGTGCGTACTTTCTTATTTCCATAACTGCAAGAGGAAGTCTTATTTAAACATTCTTTTAGCTTTTTGCATTTCTTTTATGTATCATTTTTTAATAGTGATGGAGTGTGTAGTTTGTATGATTGTTGCCGAATAACCAACATATGGTAGAGCAAGAACATAGTATGATTACGTTTTTGGGCTTATAAAGAGATGCTCACATTGGGATAGTCATAACTTTTATGGTAACACATGTCTCTCTCTCACAGAAGGGAAGCCTTTGCTTGTCACTGTTGGATCTGGCGAGGATCGTCAAGTCACCTCAGGCAATGTCCCAGAGAACCAGAGTAAGTCTCTTCAAATAAAGTATATTAAAATTTGAAAAATGTTGGAAAGTTTACCTACAAATTAAGTTAAACTGTTTTTGCACATTGTAACTTGATGCTGGATCATGAATGAGAATCAAGTTTTAACCCTAAACCGACTCGGTTAATTAAATGCACAAGAGGTGATTGCAGGTAGCAATTGGAATCGTTTCAAGGGTTATTAAGGAAATTATTGTAAGTAATGTTGAATGTTTCCATTGTAGTTGATGATGGAAAGTCTTCACACCGCTTGTCTGTCCACCTTCGCCTTGGGCCAGCTAAGGCACCATGGGAAGACAACAAGTCTGGCAACACACATGCAAGTAGTAGTGGCGGCAGCAGACACAAGAGACGTGACAAATCCAAGGGTCAGCACAGTGGGGGAACTGTCAACAGAGTGAAGCTGAGGCGATGATCATTTCAGTCTGCCTGGGATGCAGGTAACGCACACATCTCGTTGCTCCTGCTGCTGCACTGGCTCAACTTGGTGTGGAGAGGTCTGGGCTGTTTATCTGATTCCAGGCTTGCTGTGATGGCTGCAAACTTCATTCAAATAGTTGTTGCTGACAGGGTTGTAGTTGAACAGTTGTCATAACTTGTGTGATGTAAGGAAAGAGCTAAACCTTAGCTTGAGCTTGCACAAAGTAATGTTAACCTGTACATGACTTGCAGGGAAGTTATACCATCATAAGGTACTGTTAAAATTTGATTTCCACGTTCCTCTGGCAATTTTAATTATATAAAGTAATACAGGTTACAGTAAACATTTTATTTGAGTTTTTTGTGAGGATTTTTTTTATCAATAATGTAAATATCTGTGATAATTAACTGTGGTAGGTTAACAATTGCCGTTTCAGTCTGATAAAGTAAATTTGATGGAAATACCTAATTAATATTGACTAAGAATTGCTAATTTGAAATATTGTGTATTTGACTATCGTTGAACTTCCTAGGAAAGGTATGGAGCCATTTCTCAGATATATCAGAATAGATTTTTGAGAGGTTTTATTAGGTCTAACAGTTGTAGCATGCTGTTGTAGTTTCCTAATTATTAAATTTATATTTTCTATTGCAGGCATTCCTTAATATTTATTTTTCAGGGAAATTTTAATTCATCTAAAATTGGCCTAAAGTATGTGCAAATTTTTAATTTGCACATCTTGAAGTTGACCTTAAATCACTGAAATGGGCTTTTGAAAAAATAGTGTTGAAAATTTGAGTTGAAATTGTTTTGAGTGGGGGTGTGAGAACCAGAGTTAGAGGAAAGTAAGAAAAGATACAAGCAAAAAATATGAGAATGATATTTTAGATGAACATTATTATTATAAAGTGCTAAAAGAAGGCTGCAATAAAAAATAAACGACTCCATCTAAAAAAATACACATTGTGATCTGCCATCGCTTAAAGAATTGCAGGAAATTTTCATCGTTTAAACATGCCCTGTGTTGATGCAGGAATGATTGGGGAAAAATATAATTATTAGCAAGATATTTAAATATTCCCGTGAAAAGTATGTACTGGAAATACATGTTGAAAAGTGAATTTTTAGGAAACAGTCCAAAGATGCCTAGGATACAGCTGGCTTACAATAAGGAGCACATTGAAAGGAAAACTGTTCCCTTACGTTGTTACTACGGTCACCTGTTGGTTGATGATGTCACTGAGGAGTAACATTTTGTTGGGGGGGGGGTGTTCAGTGTGCAGGTATGAAGTGCACTTCTCATCTATATTCATAACACAAAATGTCGTTTCAGGGTTATTGTTATTTGTTGATGAAGACCTTGAAGCCACACTGTATACTGATTTTAAAGCTCATAGATGTTTATTTTGAATTGTCAATGTCTTGTAGTATTAATTTGTATTCAAATTCGTATTTATTATTGTTATTATATAAGAAATATTTATTAAGAATTATTTTTATATTTAAAGCATGGTTGATGCTTTTAGATATGTGTATGTTGTGATATGTACAACGCTCTAGTCATACCAGAGCCAAAAGGCAAAACTGGGACTTCCATGTACAGTAAGTGTATTATCTAGTCAGGGCATCATGGGACACCGGATAACCGATTTGTTCTTGAGTGGGTTACTCTCCTCGGCTACATTCATCATTACTGTTTGTGTACTTGTGTTTTACACAGCCACTGACCCAATGTACAAATTTGGTTTGCTTTGCAAATATTCGTGCATGTAAACAGCTCTAAGCTGATTTGAGTTTTCTTAGTAATTGACTAAGAAGAACATTTGGACCTTCTCACTGAAGAATTAGTTTATCTTACTCTCATGGAATTATTATATATTTTATGCAGTGGAATCTAAATTTCCAAAATTACTGCATTAAAGTACGTTATACACTGATATAATCTTGATATTGAACATAGTTTTTCAATTACAGAGGAGCCTCGATTAACGAATTCAATCCGTTCCGGCACTGAGCTCATCACGTGAAACGCTCATCTTTCGAAACGAATTTCTCCATTTAAATTACAGTAATGGAAATCAAATTTATCCGTTCCACCACCGAAAAACATCAATATGATATTTGATTTTTTAAATAATGTAGCAGCCTACCTGACATACGCTGAACGAACCTTTACGACATTTTTTCTTTTTTTTTTTTTCAAATTTTTTATATTATATTTTTTTTATAGGAAATGGAGCAGTCTACCTGACATACACTGAACGAAGTTTGTCGTTCAGTGTATGTCACTTTGTCACTTTTTGTGACATTTTTTTCAAAATTTTTCAAATTTTTCATTTTTTATAGAAAATGGAACAGCCTGCCTGACATTCTGAACGAACCTTTTGACATTTGTTCTTTTCAATGTTTTTCAACATTACAGCAGTCACCCCTTTACATCCCTGCATCATTAGCATCTTTTTAAAAAAATAATAATTGATTTCTGTTGTCAGAGGCTTTTTAAAATTTGCAAGAACCAGCAGGAACACTAGGAAGCACCACAATTGATTGTGGTGTTGACTAGAGCAGTGGTACGTGAACAAGGGGACACAGGTGGAAACTGAGTACCCAGATGAGCCACAGGGACGTTAGAAAGAACTTTTCCAGTGTCAGAGTAGTTAACAGGTGGAATGCATTAGGCAGTGATATGGTGGAGGCTGACTCCATCCACAGTTTCAAATGTAGATATGATAGAGCCCAGTAGGCTCAGGAAGCTGTACATCAGTTAATTGACGGTTGAGAGACAGGACCAAAGAGCCAAAGCTCAACCCCCGCAAGCACAAATAGGTGAGTACAGTACATGGGTTTTCTCATTAATGGAGCGGAAGCTTGTCAATCGAGACAAATTTTCGGTGAGTGGCTCGCTCGTTACTCGAAATGCTCATAGATGGAGCTGCTCGTCACTCGAGGTTCCACTGTATCTTACATATGATTAATTAAGGTCTAGTCATTATAGCCATATCTATATACTGTACAATTAATTCATAATTGTTACGATTTCTTTTAGCCTTGTACCTGGTACAGACACCAATCCTATTTATATCCACCCAAACTCCTTTCATGTGTATAATATACACTTTAAACAATCCAGTGATCATGCTTCTATTATGTTAACCAGTAATTTGTTCCATAAATCAGTGATATCCTCTCTTATCAAGTAAGGATTAAGGCTTTAATTTATAATGTTTTTCCTTTTACTGAGGAAGTGAGGAAATATCAGTATTCACTTTGCTGGCTCTGGAATAGTATATTTGCCTATTTCATGGTAGTGCACCACCATGCCCAGATAATTAATTTCTGTGGGGAGCCCAATCTGCTCCCTTAAGCAATCCGAACTGATATGTGCTATATTAGTTTGGGATCATCAGTCACAGGAGTTCTTATGCCTACTGATGACCCTGAACCAGAACCTGGTTCCGTCAGAGAGGTGCAGTGAGCAATGGCCTATGAGCACTTTACATTTAAAGTACTATATGTCATAATTGCCATCGACTGGGAAAGGACCCAGAAAGATACGTGAATCAAAAAAGACCACTGTCTGGTTACATTATGCAATCTACATCTGAAAAGATCAACAAGCAACACTTTGTGCAACTAACACTGATTTGGGGGCCTGATAGGCGAGTGGACAGCGCTCTGGACTCGTAATCCTAGGGTCTGGGTTCAATCCCCGGTGATGGCAGAAACAAATGGGCAGTTTCTTTCACCCTGCACATTCCCTTCCCGGCTTGGTGCCTTCTTTTGATAATAAATTAAATTCTTTCACCTTGATGACCCCTGTTATCTAGCAGTTAATAGGTACCTGGGAGTTAGACAACTGTTTTGGGCTGCTTCCTGAGGTATGTGTGTGTATGAAAAAAAATGTGTTGATTGATTGAAAGTTGAGAGGCAAGCCAAAAGAGCAGAGCTTAACCCTAGGAAGCAAAATTAGGTGAATACACCCCTGCTTGTTAGTGTTACAACTCCCAATAAGAGGTGTAACAACCCCCTTCCTGCTCTCCTTCATGAGAACTGAAGCATGGGGAGCGTCATGCTCTCCTCCGGCACCAGGGGATCTGTTCATTTGGTCCAGATGGTCGTTTTGTTCATTTGCTGCCATTTCCTTCATTTCTGGCTTAGAATGAGATGGCTGGCTTCCAGAGGGGTCCATTGGTTGAGGATGCTTGGTTGGTTAGGCTGGGGTGTCATGTGTTGTTTCCGGTGGCAGCCTTACACCACTACCTGCGGGCCATTGGTTCTATACCGGTGGACGCTCTCTGGGTGGATCCAGTTTCCTTGGTTCCCTGTTCCAGACCTCGTGTCACCCAGGTTTTCCGCAGTGTCATAAAGTCTAGCCATCGTGCGGTCTACCCTCGTGCCCATGATGTTAGGAAGTATACTGCTCTTGCAGCTGTTTCTTGCAACATGTCTTAGGTCGACATTCAGGCATGGAGGTTTTGGAGGTCGCACAGAGTCCTGGCCATCAGGTGTCTTGTGAACGATCCAGTTCCTTCCCGGCCGTGTGGGGCTTTGGGGCACCTGTTGCGGCCGTCTGTCTCTTCCTCGTCTTGAGACCTGCTGTGTTGCCGCCTCCCGGGCAAGTCCCTCCTTTTACTTTGGGTAGTTAGCTTCAGGGAACCGACGAAGCTAACTACCCACAGAAAACCAGAAACTCCATTTTCTGGGTGAGCCCCAGAGGCTCCCTAATAAACCCCCCTCTGGTCGGTGTTTTTTAAACGTTCAAGAACTGGAGTGGTGGGCTGCAGGCTCTCCTAGGGGAAGGGGACGGGGTAACACTGACGAGCAGAAGTGCTAGTCGCACGAAGGGTTGCTTGTTTGTTTTTCTTTCTAGTAGAGTTATTTTGATCTTTTTGGATGTTGATTGCACAGGTCAACCAGACAATGGCCTGTTTTGATTCACCTACCTTTCTTGGTCCTACCCCAGTCAGTGGCAATTATGACATACAGTACTTAAGTGTTCGTAGGTCATTGCTCCCTGCA